ACTCATTTTGCATGTGGTGTTTTTTTAAATATTGTTGTTTTTTATTAATTTGAGCAACACTCAAATATTAAGATGATGAAGTTTCATCTTTTTGGACCAACATGGCGGCCCCTGCCAGATGTTTTTACCCAACCAATCAGCAGTTTGTAGCTGCTAATTTGTCAGTGTTTGTTACAGAGCCCCCTAGTGGCCAGAGGGACCTTTTTCTTTTGCATTTCCTCTCAGTAATGTTTTCACTGCTCAGTTAATGTGACGTCTCTAAAACTGGAAGACTTTTTCATGTATGTTTGTATCTCGTTTGTGACGTATCAGAAGGTTTCTATCTTTAGGACACAAACGCAGCACAAACTTCTGTGCAAAAGTAAAACAGGTCAAACATGGCATTTAAAGGGGCGGTTTAAAAAAAATCCTGTTGTATCTTTAAATCATGTTTCCCCTGGAATGTAGATTTATTTCTTTCATGCATGTTTGTGAAATCAATCTCCATGGCAACCATTCAGTTGCGTAAAACACCTGGGTGGACCTAGCCCCGCCTTCAAGATGCAGCTCCTCCCTCTCAACTCCTTCAGACTAGCCAGCAGCAATTAGCAAACACATTTATTGAGCTCATTATAGGAACTGCTGCTCAGAGCAACGCTGGTAAAAATGTTGTTAAAGGGTTAACAGAGGAGCCATGTTGGAATGACTTCCTGGAGGCGGAGCTTCAGAACCATCAGGAGTTTTTAAAGAGAGAGACCCAATTTCAAGGTGTTAAATCAGGAAGTTCTTTCTCATTTAAGTTATTTATTAACATGCTAACTTGATGATGCTATAAAATAGCATCATGTGTTAAGGAAATACATAACGGCCCTTTAAATTCCTTTTAAGACATTAACAGAAACTTAGATCCAAGCTAATTATGCTATTTTTGAGTTATTTTCATGGAGAAAAACAATCCCTGACATCCCTTAGGGGGCGCTGTATTTTGTAAATCACATCTGTAACAGATTTTTAAAATGTTTTAATTTTCGGTGGGTTTGGGCTCCAAACTGGTCTCCAGCCCAGGGCCTCCTATTCCTCTAAATCCGGCCCTGTTTTCACTGTTACTGCCTCTCCTGAGACCAGCAGACAGTTTTTAATGAATTTTCCGCTCGTTCCAGCGCTGTTGTTCTGTTTTTACTGTGCCTGACTTTCAGAAGAGGCGGCTCACATCCGCGTCTCGGCGCTTGCAGGACAGGATGTGAAACACTAGACACTCACTCCAAACTGCTAACATGTGGGAATGCTGCGAGGAATGCGCTGCGGAGCAGGAAAAAACCTGCAGTGTTTTAGTTGGAGCTCCTGGACGCTCTTCCCACATGTTTCTGTGACTTTACAGCTAAAGCAGCAAAACAAGGGATGAGTTTGCTTGTTCAATTTATCATAGGTTTTCTATCAGATTGTAACAGACGTGGTTTTTCAAACTGTTGAGCTAATTTCAAGGTAGTTTTAACTGCATTGAGGAATCACTTCACAAATAGTTTTTTTAATTTTTTTTAGAAGATGTGTATATTATTTATTTTTTTAAGCGTCTCAGCGCAGCAACTCTGACTGTGAGGAAGAGAAGTGCATTTCAAAGAGACTCCAGTGAAGGTCTTTAGTGAAAAGCTAATTAACATTTTGCTTTTATTCTCCTGCTTCGTTTCTTCCTTACATGCACTGGCTTCTCTTACTTCAAACTTTTGTGTAGCAAATATATTTTCACAATAAAACTGACAACTTTTGCGGATGTTTGTTGTGTTTTCGTTCAGAAATATTGAAACTTTGGTTGTTTTCTTGGATCTTGTGTTTTTGGACTATTGGAGGAAACACAAACCCAGAACCTTCCTGACATGTTTCAGGTGTTTAATTTTGTTCATATTGAATATTTTAGCATAACTTCAGTTTCTATAAACATGGGTGGTTCTAGACGGGGGCCAGCCGGGGGCCACTGCCCCTCCTCTGCAGAGATAATACGAGATTAATTTCTTATGCACATTCTGGCAAAGAAACTTGCTAATTGATTCCTTGAATGTAGTTAAAGAAAAACTTCTATAATTATAATCATAGTATGAGTCAAATCATTCAGTAAATGTTGCTTTTATTAGATATTTCATTTTTCTCCCACTGAAGAAACATTAAATGAGGTCCAAACAACATTTTCATCAGAATTTACAACCTGCATATAGTATAATAACAAAACACAGTCATAATGTCCCAACCCAACGCTGCCCTGTCTCTGCTGGACCGAACCCAACCGCCATGAACTTCCTGTCCCCAGGACACATTTCTATAAACAGGAAGTCGCATCACAAACCAAAGAGTCTCAATGTTTCTGTTTCTAACGGCAACAGGTTTCTGAGGTATTCCATAAATGAGGTCAGAGATCATGAAATAATCACATATAAAGGCAACATATTAAAAAAACAGAATTAAAACAGTTTGAGAACATTTTTGTTTGATATCATGTCAAAAATTTTTAAAGCATGAATTAAAAAAACCCAGAAAAGAGCTGAAGCTTTTTTCCAACCTAATTTAAAGTTAAAATAAAAGGAGTTCATGCTGGGATACAACCAGGTTTCTGTTCCCATAATGCATCAGGATTCAGCTAAAAACACATCTGAAATGGCACGAGTGAAGAAATAAATCATTCATTGTTTTATGTCTTTACATCTCTGGAAAAGAACATAAAACACCTGAAAGTGAAACTAAAGTTTAGTTTAAATGGCAAAATTCACTTGATCCTCTAAAATAACATCTGACTAATAATCCATGACTTTTTGTTTTCCTGGGGAATAATTATGACGCGACACAGATGTATGGATGAGGAGCCATGTTTTTTCTGGCTCGGTGCGCGAAGCTAAAAATGGCAACTCAGTCTCCATGGCAACTGATAGCCAACATATGCCTGCTGCAAGTATCAATATGAGAAGTTTATTACAGTTTATTACTGTTTATTACTGTTTATTACTGTTTATTACAGTTTATTACTGTTTATTACAGTTTATTACAGTTTATTACAGTTTATTACAGTTTATTACTGTTTATTACTGTTTATTACAGTTTATTACTGTTTATTACTGTTTATTACTGTTTATTACAGTTTATTACTTTTTGTTACAGTTTATAAGGATTTTAAGGATTTTTATGCATCTTCACCAGAGGTCAGGTTGATCCTTCAGAGGGCATCATCATCATCATCATCATCATCATCATCATCATCATCATCATCACCATCATCACCATCATCATCACCATCATCACCATTATCTGACTGATGTTTTAAAGGCTACCGGATATATACAGCAGTCAGAAAACTTTCTATTAAAATAAACACATAATACAGCAATAAATAATCAAATACATCCATTTAGGCAGAAAGTACGAATCAGGGACACTGCAGATGGAAAAAAGGAGCAATTTCACACCAGAAAAGTCAAACATTTTCAACTTAATCTAAGAAAAAAAAAACAATTTCTTAGTTTCAAAAGTCGAGAAATTTTCTCTAAATTTGTGATTTTTTCTTGCAAATTTCTGAGACGTTTTCTCATCATTTTTGTCTGCAGTGACCCTGATATGTAAACCGGTTATTAATATGAGCAGAACTGGTTAATATTCTGGCTCCGGATCTCATCCAAACCCAGGAGGTATTTAGTTGCTCTGACCGTCGTTATGAACAGAGTTTATGGTTTTATTTTGGTTCTTCAGGATATGAAAACGTTCAGATCCAGTTCTGTTACCTGCTGACCGGACCTTCAGAACCACAACGTCTCTGAACGCCATAGAACTCTTTCTGAGGAAATACTGCTTACAATTATTAATAATAGCAGGATAAATATCACGAACATAAAGACGCTGCGGGTCGACCCGTTGCTGCGATGCGTCAGCGTCCGCCATGTTGGATGTGGAAACCTGCCATGGACAATGAAATGGACCAAACTTTCTCAAGTTTTAAAAGTTGAAAATTCTCAACTTTTGAAACTCAGAATTTTCCTTATTTTTTCTAGAACATTTCTAAGATTTATCAAAAATTCTGAGTTTTGTTCTTACAAATTTTTCATTTTTAGGGCTAAGATATTTTTTTGTTTATTTCTTTAAAGTTTCTGACACAAAACTCAAAATGTTAGAATTTCTTGCAAATTTTTGACTTTTGAAAATCAGAAATTTGAAAGTTTTTATAGAAAACATCAGAAATGAATCTGAAATATTTCAGAAGTTTGTTTCTGAAAAAATTTTAAACTTTTTCAGCTTTCAAATGTTCTTGTTTTTTCTTCTAGAAAATTTTAGTTATTTTCCTGAAATGAAGATTAATCTCAAAATTTCTCAGTGTTTTTGCAGAAATGCACTTTTTTATTGCATCTAAACATGCAATCATAAACACGTTTCCATTCTTACCTGTGAACGGTCACGTCACTGGATCTGCTCTGTAATGCAAAACATCGGCCATCTTGTTCCACCGCTCCATGTGCCACATCCAAGATGGCGGCGGTGAGGTATGATGTATTCATGTCTGCAGTAATCCTCATCCTGTCGTCATGTTTGGCAGCATGATGTCACAGGAAGGCGCTCTGGTGCAGCTTCTGATGGTGCCTCAGGTTGGACTTGCTGGAAAAGGTTTTCCCGCAGCGCTGGCAGTCGAAGGGCTTCTCCTTGGTGTGGATGCGGCGGTGGCAGACGAGCTGCGTGGAGACGCGGAACGCCTTGCCGCAGGTCAGGCACTGGTAGCGCCGGGGCTCAGTGTGGATGCGGCGGTGGTTCTTCAGCGCCATCAGGTTGGAGAACTCCTTCTGGCAGACGACGCAGCAGAAGCGGCCCGTCTTGTGGCTGTTCTTGTGGTTGAGCAGCGATCCGGCGTGGCGGTACGAGCGACCGCACAGGTCACACCTGCATCACAAACACTGAGACTGGAACCAGGCGACGCCTCAAACAGAAAATATCCCATCCAATTAAATACATTTTACTTAGAGCTGCAGTAACTTTATTACAAAATATACATTTTTTCCAAATACATAGTTGAAACTGTCACCAAAGTTCTGGGAAGCAACTTGTTCTATTTTTTCAACCAATGTACTTTTAGGATTCATTTATTAATTGGATTTAGTATTTCTAAACTGTACATTTTACTTTTACTTGAGTAATTTTATTATGAAATATCTTCTCTTGCTGGAGTGAAATTTTTGAATTTTCTCCTCATTGAATAAAAAACAAAACATATTTTAATCAAAACTTTTCCACACTCAGACACACAGGTCCAGTTTCTGTTGAAGTTCCTTCAGTTTTTCTATGAAAAAAAATTATTTGGAAACATTTATTTTGTCTGATTTTGTTACTCTTTGTGTTACTTTTATAAATTATTGTAATTTTTGTCCTTAAAATTCAAACTTTCCACTTAAGTTTATATTTTCATCAGTGGGATTAAGTAATTTTAAATATTAAATGATTGATAATTTGATCAGTTCCTTAGTACTTGGGTAGATTTTTTACAGTAGAGTGAAAACATGTTAGTTATTTTATTCTCAGTTGAATCAGGTCTTTTCATTTTTATGGTTTTCACAGGTTTTATGTTTGTGCATAAATATCTCAGAAACTCACCTGAAGCATTTTTGTCCTGTCTCCTCCTGGACGCCAGGGGGCGCTGTGACCTCCTGACCCCTGAGGCAGCGCTGCCCCGTCAGGCCGGTCTGATCCTGGAAGCTCGGCGCCGGTCCGTGCAGCCGCTGGTGGTTCTGCAGGACGCTGGCGCGGCGGAAGGCCTTCCCGCACGTTGCACATTCGTACTTCCTGTTTCTGTGGATGCGGGCGTGGCCACGCAGCGCCGCGCGGTTGGTGAAGCGCTTGGCGCAGACGGTGCAGCTGAACTCGCCCGTCTGGTGCGCCCTCTTGTGGTTGAGCAGTGAGCCGGCGTGCCGGTAGCTGCGGGGGCATAGGTTGCACCTGAACAGCCGCTCCTCTTCCTCGTAGGAGGGCGCCACTTGCTGGTCGGAGGACTTTCTGCACCTGAGGCCCGGCCGGCCTGCGACGGCGTTCTGTCTGAGCGCAGCGCAGACATGCGCCTGCAGTTGCGCCGGCCCCCTGAAGCCTCTGCCGCAGCGCTGGCACAGGAGCCTCTTGGCCAGGTGAATCCTCAGGTGGTTGCTCAAGGCCAGCTGGTTGCAGTAAATGTTGCTGCAGAAGCTGCAGGAAAACTCGCCCATCTGATGGGACTTCCTGTGGTTGGCCAGACTCCCGGCGTGGCGGTAGGTCCGGCCGCACTGGTCGCAGGAGAACGGCCGTCTCTCGCCTACCGGTGCAGACGCCTGCCGGCATCTCCTCTCTGGCCGGACAACCTGGACCGGATCGCTCAGTTCCGGGACCGGATCGCTCAGTTCAGGTGCAGGAACTGAGCGATCCGGTCGGTTCTGTTTGTGTTTTCTCAGATGGTTCAGCAGCTGCTTCTGGAGCTTGAAGGCTTTTCCACATTCCTGACAGGCAAACCTGCAAAAACAAACACAAAATATCACAAACCTCAACCTGACATTACAAAAGTTCATCATTTAAAGGGACATTGTCATTAAAATAGACTTTGTCTTTCCATCATGTTGTAATGTTATTGATTCTTTCATGCATGAAATCCTTTAATCTCCATGGCAACCATTCAGCTGTAAAAGCCCCGCCTCCGAGGCTATATATAGCCTACAGCCTATATAGGCACACACAAGTCTGATTGACAGCACTAAGGCCCGCCTCCTGGCTCTGATTGGTTGTTTTTGCAGACTGCATTAGCAGCTCAGAGAGATCAATTTTATCATATTATCTGTTTCTGATTATCTGGAGATTTTAACAAATATAACAAAAACATATTTTATAAAATCACGTCCTGCAGCTTTAAATAAAAATCTATAGCATGCATCACTTTATCTGATTGACTGTCAGAACAATCAATCAATGATTCAATATGTTGCCGATGCCCTGACCTTTTGAGGTCAAAGTGTGACCTATGGTGGTTCTTCAGCGCCAGCAGGTTGTAGAAGCGTTTCTGGCAGACGGAGCATCTGAACACGCCCGTTTTATGGGACTTTTTGTGGTTGAGCAGCGAGCCGGCGTGGCGGTACGACCGCCCACACTGATCACAGCGATGCTGGCGCTCCACGCCGCCGCCACCGGGCTTCAGTTCCTCCTCCTCTGTGACCTCAACTTCCTGCTTGGCTGCGCAGTCGTGGCTGCTGAGGTGACTGTAGCTGATGCAGGAGACGCCGCAGCTGCTGCAGATCAGCATCTCCCCAGACTCTGGATGTAGGGGGTCGGCGCCCTGCGGAGCGCCATCGGAGCGCGTGTGGCCCCTCAGGTGGCTCCTGAGGGCCGCCATGCTGCTGTAGCTGATCCCGCACACTGAGCACTCGTAGTCATCGTCTTCGTCGGGATTCTCGTCTTCTCCGGCACTGTTCCCGTGGCAACCCTGCTCAAAGTAGCTGAATTCTGTTGTTTCTGAGCTTTGGGCGTCCCTGGGGTCAAAGGTTAAGCTGCAGGGTTGGTCCGCAGGTGTGTGTTGGTGTAGCAGGATGCAGCTGTGAGATTTGACCCCGGCTACGTCTTCAAACGTCTCGCAGCAGTCCGCGCACATATGCGACGCCATGGCAACCTGGGAGCAGAAACCCTCAGTGGAGAGCGTTTCGCCGCCAGGATTGACGGCGGCCATGTTTTCCTGGTCTGATCCAAACCCGGTCTGGGTCTGCTGGCTCACAGGCTCCGGGGAGAGCCAGCCTTGCTCTGCGGGCTGTTGGGAAGATGGCCGCCGCGTTCGGGAAGATGGCCGCCGCGTTCGGGAAGATGGCCGCCGCGTTCGGGAAGATGGCCGCCGCGTTCGGTGGAGGCGCAGGTGGCTCCTGAGGGCGGCCAGGTGGGGGTACTGCTTCCTGCAGACGGCGCAGCGGAACACGCCCACCTGGTGGGAGCGCCGGTGGTTGATGAGGCTCCCGGAGTGACGGTAGCTCTTCCCACAGGTGTGACACTTGAAGGGTCTCTCATCGGGATCCGGAGTGGATGTTTCTTCTTTTACAGCGCTCTGTGATGTGCTTATTACCGCAACGTCTGTTGCATCCGTACCGTCAAACCCACTCAGATCAAAGTTCTGAAGAACCTCTGCAGCAGACGGATTGAAGCTGGACTCCGGCAGGGAAACATCAGGCTCCTCAGGCGAAGACTTGTGCAGCCGGATGTGCTCCTGGAATTCCCTATTTCCAGGAAAAAACTCTTGGCACAGGAGGCAGAAATTCTCCAGAGTGTCCCGTTTCTGGTTCTCGAACAGGACCGGTTCTGACCTGGTAGCTGTGCTCTGATCCATCTCGCCTCGCATCCTGTGGATCCTCTGGTGGCTGTAGAGGGCGGCCATGTTGCCACACAGCTTAAAGCAGACGGTGCATTCAAACACGCCCAGCTGGTGGCTCTTCTTGTGATTGGTCAGGCTGCGCTGGTGGATGTAGGACTTCCCACACTGGTCGCATTGAAAGGGTCTCTTTGGCGCCACGCTGCAGCGCTCCGGCTGCAACGTGAGAATCGCAGCGATGTCTGCGTCCTCCTTACGTTCAGGCTGCTGGTCGCATTCGCTGCCCTGTGAGGATCTGCAAGGCAGATGAACCGTCTTCTGGTGTGTCTGCAGCTGCGCCGCCAGACGAAAACATTTCCCACAGTCGGCGCAAGAGTACTTCCTAAGCGAGGCGTGACTGCGCAGGTGGTTCTTCATGGCCGAAGCGTTCCAGTTTTCTTTCCCACAGATGGAGCACAGGAACGAACCCACTTCATGAGTCCGTCTGTGATTGGCCAGGCTGCCGGCGTGTCTGTAGCCACGCCCACATTCGTTGCATTTGAATTTGCGGTCGTCCTCTAGTGGATGATGAGCATCCATGCGCTGCAGCGGGCTGGACATGTTGGGCCACCGTCTGCAGTCAGAAATCCCAGTCCTGCCTGTGACACTGCAGCCCAACCTGCAGCCGTCGCATTAGTTCTTATTTATTTCCTGTGACAGGAAGCCAGATCCTGCAGCACGATCCAGGAACCATTTCACAGGACACCGCAAAAAGAAATCTGGAAAAGAGAGTTAGATGATTACTGACCAACAGAAGAAACAAACTGACAAATATTAAAACGAGAAACTGACAGGTTATAAAATAAACACATTGTGATGAAGATTTTATGTCCCTGAGTTGTTTTGCAATTGTCAATGTGGACAATGAAATTGTGTTTCTACACATGAAAACAAATTACTACTCCTTTTTAATTTTGTTTAACTTTTTTATTTTGAGTAGTTTAAATATTTTTTTCTTTTTAAAATGTCACATATTTATTGTTGTTCTAATAAATACTTAATATTCAATATTCTGCATCTTGTTAATTACTGAAATCACTTCTCAAGGCAAATCACAAGCAGTTTTCATCAACTAAAAAAAACAAAACAAAAAACTAGAATGTATGAAACTGAAAAATGTGTTATTTACATGCAAATCTTGTTATATATATATATATATATATATAAATAAAGGGAACACACAATATAACTCCAAGTAAATCAAACTTCTGTGAAATCAAACTGTCCACTTAGAAACTGATTGACAATCAATATCACCTGCTGTTGTGCAAATTTAATAGACAACAGGTGGAAATTATTTTCATATTTATTTCATTCATTCAGATCTAGGATGTGTTATTTGAGTGTTCCCTTTATTTTTTTAGCAGTGTATAAATATATATATGAAGGTCTGATGTCATTGAATTGTTTTCTATTTTGTTAATCAGTGAGGAAAGTTTTTCATGGCTCTAATCTTGTTAAATCCTGTTTTGTTTCTATATAAACCAACATAATCAATTTAACGGGACTTTTAAACTTCGTGGTTATTTAAAGGCTAACATGTCTGCACCTGTTTTACAAACTGGATCAATAACTAGAAACAGCGACTCTATCTACAATTTCATGAAACATGTTAATATTTGTGCCGAGAGTTAAATTATATTACAGTAAAGTGAAAGTTGGACTCCAGTCAACAAGTCGGTTGTAACTGAGCACTTAGCAGTTAGCAGTTAGCATGGGATAGCGGCCCGCGGTTAGCTAAACAAGCATCAAACACCTCCAATAAAACACAGGCTTCACCACAAACAACACAGTAGGGATTAAATACCTGGAGATGTTTTTAATGCCTGCACGAATCTTCAATAATATTGTTTTCTTTTTGTTGACCTATTCTTCATACAAACGACAAACCATTTGATCAAACTGTCCTTTCTTCTTCCATCCACACCGCTCTGGTTGCTAGGAAACAGGAAATGTGTAGCAGCGAAATGCTTCCGTCTCAGCAGCACCCAGCTAATAATTGTTCATTTATCAAGGAAAATGCTTGGTAACCCTGAGATTTAGACAAATAAAATAAATGAATGAATAAATAAAAATGTCACATTAAGCGTCAAACTTTATAGGAAGTACTGGAATTGATTTATTTTAACTGTCTGACACAGCTACTTTAAATAGCTGACGTTGCTAGCGATGCTACCGGCACGTAAGAATACAAATATTATTATATTAATTTAAAATATTTTTATTCTGGAAGTGGTTATATTATTTTTCTCTGATTTGAACATTTAGACATTAAACACATTATTGATGCGCACTCTCTGGCTGGTTGCTGTCGTCATCAGGGTCCTAGTGCCGACGCGTCACCGCCTCCAGTAAACAGCGACTCTCGCAGTAAAAGCTCCCGTCTCTCCGGGACTCGGTCTGCCGACTGTTTATGAACCGATTCCGGTAAGAACCGATGGTTTTGTTTGAAAGGACGCTTTGGGGAAAGCTCGGTAGTTTTAGCGGCGGCCGTTGCTGAGATCTGCGGTCTGATTTGAGCGACCAGCGGTCCTAAAGCCAGCCATTTTGAGTCAACGCGAGTAGCCCGGCAGCTAGCAGCGGCAGATACATACATGTGATGTCCCGCAGGTCGCGACCTCATCCCGCTGACATGGAGGGTTTAATGAGACGCGCGGTGCGTTGCGGTGGCAGGCGGGTCTGCACAGCTGTCACTGCAGAGACTTCCTCTGTCATCAAAGCGGTTAGCTTATTGTCCCTGAGGTCCTAATGCCAGCCATTTTGAGAATAAATAACAGCGTCTCCACATATTTCTATCATTATGTGATACATTTTCTGTTTCAGGATGTTCTATTTGCACTTTCAACTCATCTGATCAACATTAATCCATCTACTTCCTGTTGCAAATATTTTGTGCTTACTGCAAATCTGTTTTTAATTTGATCTGTTTTTAGAAATAAAAAATGGCCTCCCCTCAGCCTGGCAGCCCGCCTCCTGCAGAGCAGTTTACCCCCCCAGAGAAGGATGATGACAGCAAGGAAGGAGAAGAGGAGGTGAGGGATCAGCCGGTTAAAAAACGAGGCAGAGGCAGACCTCCAAAAGCCAAACCCAGCTTCAAATGCTCCACTTGCACAGAGACTTTCAAAAGCATGTTGGCTCTGCAGAGCCACAAACTGGCAGCGCATGCAACGCAACAGCAGCAGCAGCAGCAGCATGCATGTTCTGAATGCACCAAAACGTTTTCTAGCAAAGCTCAGCTCTCCAAGCATGAACGCACCCACTCCTCCCAGCGGCCCTTCCAGTGTCCGGATTGCCACAAGGCGTACAAGACGACCACGGAGCTGCGCAACCACAGCCGCTCCCACACCGGGGAGAAACCCTTCGTGTGCCCCGAGTGTGGGAAAGCCTTCATGCAGGCTATCTGCCTGCGGATCCACACGACGCAGCACAGCGGTGAGCGACCGTACTCGTGCCCCCAGTGCAACAAGAGCTATCCCACCCTGTCCAAGCTGAAGGTCCACGAACGCTCCCACACTGGAGAGAAGCCATACTTCTGCGCCGAATGCGGAAAGAGCTTTGCTGACCCCTCTGTGTTCAGGAAGCACAAACGGAACCATCAGGGCCACCGTCCGTATGCCTGTGAGGAGTGTGGGAAGACGTACACGGAGCTGAAGGACCTGAAGAACCATGAGCGTTCCCACACTGGCGAGAAGCCGTTCCTTTGCTCCGACTGCGGCAAGGCCTTCTCCCGCTCCTCGTCGCTGGCATGCCACCAGCGAATCCACTCCCAGAACAAACCCTACCAGTGTGAGCAGTGTGGGAAAGGCTTTACGCAGCTGTCCTCGTACCAGTCTCACCTGCGCACGCACTCTGGGGAGAAACCCTTCCTCTGCCCCCAGTGCGGTAAGATGTTTTCTGACCCGTCCAGCTTCCGGCGGCACCAGCGTGCCCACATGGGCTTCAAGCCGTACCCCTGTGACAAATGCTCCAAGCGCTTCCGGCAGCCGGCTGACCTGGCCGTGCATGAGCGCGTCCACTCCGGAGAGCGGCCATACAAGTGTCAGAGCTGCGACAAGGCTTTCGTGGCATCCTGGGACCTGCGGCGCCACATGCTGGTGCACACCGGGCTGCGGCCCTTCTCCTGCACCGAGTGCGACAAGTCGTTCACTGAGCGCTCCAGCCTCAACAAGCACCGGCGTGTTCATTCCGGAGAGAGACCCTTTAAATGCGAGGAGTGCCTGAAGTCGTTCGTGGTCTCCTCAAGTCTGCGGAAGCACGAAAGGACTCACCTGGCGGAGCAGCCGGAGCAGCAGGAAGATTCAGCCTCCACCTCCACCACCAGCTTCGCCCCCCACACCATGCTGCCACAGTTCTCCTGCTCCCTCTGCGACGCCACCTTCGCCTCCTGGGACGAGGTTCAGGCCCACGAGGCGCTCCACCCGGCCGACCCCGCTGCGCTGCACGTCTGCCGAACCTGCAGCGCAGAGTTTGGCCAGCTGGGGGAGCTGGAGGAACATGCCAAGCAGCACAAAAAGCTGCATGTCTGTGACAGCTGCGGGAAGGGCTTCCAGAACCGATCAGGGCTGCGGAAGCACCAGAAGATCCACTCGGCCAGCAAGCCACACCGCTGCCCGCACTGCGGGAAGGCCTTCCTGTTCGCCGCGTACCTGCGCAAGCACCTCCGGACTCACCCAGCGGCGGCGGCGCCCGCAGTCCCAGCTGTGGATGAGATTATTCACACAGACCCTCTTCCCTCGCCCCCGGCGGCCTCGACCTCTGACCCCGGCGCCATGTCTCTGACCGTACCTGTGAGCTCCTTCCACACCCTCCCAGATTACCTGGTCAAAGATGAAGGACTTTAAACTTTAAAAAAACAACCAGCATCGTAAAAAAACCACAGAAACAATCAAAAATACATTGTTGGTGTAACTTGATCATTCTTATGATTTCTAACAAATATGATGTAAAAAATGTTTTATAATCCCTGATATAATCTCCTACTTGTGCTCCTCATGTTTTAATCTGTTCATAAAATCATTTCTCCTGCAACCAGACGCCATAAACTAAAATAAACCTACACATTGACTCTACTCACCTTGAATAATTTGCATTCATTAAACTTGCTTTAAGTCCATTTTTAACCATTTTATTATTTGTAGTGGAAAAATGTTGACTGTAAAACTTTTATATCAATAAAAAAAAAAAAATTTCTTTTAAACTTGTTACTTTTTCTTTTAAATCTTTGTGAAATCTTAATTTTTCAGTTTGGGTTCAACATTTGGTGACTTATATTGAATATAATTTCAGTTCTGTATATTTGCATACAAGATATCTCCAGAGAACTCTACCTCTGCAGACACATTTATAAAAGTAAGTAATTGTAATCAAAGCTGGTTGTTTTGGTTCAGCAAATGATTTTGATTTTACATTAAATAGAAATCTTTATTGTCATCTCAACCTCCAGGAACTGAACAGCTTTCTGCTTCTTTCTAACATATGGAGCTAAATTGGGGCCATAATATTTCTTCAAAGGAAAAAATAAGTAAAACTTGAATCTTTTTTCCAGGTTCAAAAAGTTTTTTTGACTTTTTAATTTTTTTGTCTGAAACCTTTTTCCTTCAGTTTTAAAATAATTTTTCAGTTTCAACTTCTTTTTCTTTTGTACAAACTATATGGCCCCATTTTAGCTCCATACTGCTGGTATTTTTGATGTTTTCCCTCTTTGAGGTTGGAAGGCCTCTTTACCATCACCCTAATCTTCACTGGGGGCTGCTCCGTCCAGCTGATCCACTTCCAGTCTGAATCTGCAGGAGGTGAATAATTTTATGTGTAACTGTTTGGCGTGAACCATAAAAAAGATATTTAAGTCTTATTTTTAAAATGATCATTATTAGCCTGCAGATTTCAAAGGGAGACTTTAGGACAGGATGCATAAAATCAGGTTTTATAAGGTCTCATGCACTGTTACAGGAAAGGTTTAATTTTATTTCCTGGTTGCATCAGTTGGGGGTGAATAACTCGCTGCAGCTGGAAGACAATGACTCTGCAGTGATTATCCAATCAGAAGCTCGTACCTGTCAGCTTAGTTAAATCCAGGTGCTGCAAGAAACAGGATGTGAAATTGCCTGAAGATTTGTTGTGTTTGCTGAATCAGCTGAATTATAGTAAATTTATACATTTTAGTTTAAAATTAAGAGAAAAAAGAAGGTTTTAAACTGCAGGAGGGTTAAAGTTTGAGGTTGTTGGGAAGCAGAATCAGCGTTACGACAACATGGCTGAACCTGGGCTCTGCTCCCCCAGGAAACAAAACGCTTGGCGTCTCAAACATCTGTTCAGAGTTACGAGTTGGTTTAATGATGGCGGCTCCACATAAACCCATGAATATTTACGCTTTGGCCCCTCGGCCAATCAGATGAGGCTTCATCTTATTCCATCATGTTGGAAAACAACAAACTTCAGAAAATAAATGGAGATAATCCAGATGTGTTTGGTGAATGAGTTGAAGTGTTTGTTGGTTTTAGTTTCCTTTGTGCGTCAACATCAACGTTTCACCATGAGCTGCAACATGATTTATGGAAGTTCAGGTTTTTACTTTTTCAAGCTTCTTAAAATTATTTTAGTACCAAAGTATATATTTTGCATTCCTTGTTCATGACTGTTTCATATTGCTATCATGTGTAAAATAAATAAAAAATACAAAGTTTTACAGTTTTCAGCATGTTTGTTTTGTTAGCTGTGATTGGTTCTCTCGTTCATTTCTTTGGTTCAATTTGACCTCCTATGAAGAGACGATTCATTCTATAGTTTTGTGGACCATAAAGCAAATAAATGTTGCCATAAAATAAAACATTTAGTATGAAGTGCAACCAACAAGGTAGCTTAGCATCTTAAAGGGGCAGCATAATTTAAAATCAACTTTTTTAAAATCTTTCCATCATGTCACTATTTTATTCCCACGTCAATAAGGGTATATTTAACAAACACTTTCATCTCCATGGCAACCATTCAGCTGGGTGGACCTAGCCCCGCCTCCTCCACTCAGCTCCTTCCGACTAGCCAGCAACAATTAGCAAACATCTCCTAGCTGCTGCTCAGAGCAACACAGGTAAAAACATTAAAGGGTTAATAGAGGAGCCGTGTTGGGATGACTTCCTGGAGGCGGAGCTTCAGAAGGAGCTGGAGCTTCTTAAAGGGACAGAGGCCCAAATTCAAGGCGTTTTCAGTCAGAGGCCTTTTCAGATTTGTTGTAAAACTGACTGCTACTGGAGATTCTTCTTCCCACAAAAATCACCATTTATGACTCTTTGAAGAAACTTGGATGATATTAATTATATTAGTTAATTTAAGAATTGAATTGAATAATTTTCAGTTGCAAAAACATTTAAAGTTTCCAAAACACCTCAGAAATGAATAGTCTTATATTTTAATATACAAAACGAATTAAAAGCACATTTTAATTTAAGATTTCCTGTGTATAATGTTATAATTATACATATAATTATAGAAAGCAACTCGGAGCCTTTGTGTGACGTTTGGCGGCGGCTACATGGACTTCCTGTTGCTGTGTTTCATGGTGATGAGCAGAGCTGCACCAGCGTCTGTCAGAGGCTGCAGGAGGAAAATTCAGGTCAGACAGAAACAGATCCGGCATTCAGCGAAATCTGAAGAAACTACAAGCTGGTTACCTCAGAGTAGGACAGAAGAGCGCTCCTCTGAAAAATACAGAGAAAGATTAAAAATGTTTTCTGTTTGTGATTTTTACCACAGAGAAACTGACCCTGGTTAGAGTGTGAATGTTGTGGTTTATGGGCTCCATGGTTCTGACCCAGTCCTGGTACATCTGCTGGTCCTCTGCTCTCTGGTTCTGCTCTCTGGAACATTGAACAGAACCACTGCAACAAAAACCTACTCAAGTCAAAGCTACATTCTTTCATTATTTTATTTTATTCAATTTATTTTGTAATTTATGTAGTTATATTAAATCATTTAAATTCAATAGTGAATTATATATATATTCTATAATTTTATCACTTATGCTTATATTTTTCAATTAATAAGCCATTTTCCTTTGGGAATCAATCAGGTCTATTCTAATCTAAAAAGAATAAATACCCGATGGTGAATATCTAGCAACTGATAAATTATCAATCATTTCATATTTAAAAATTACATAATCAGACGGACCAAAGTATAAAGTTCAGTAGAAATTTTGGTATTTTAAGGACCAAAATGACAATAAATTGTTTAAGTAACAAAAATAAATCAGGCAAAAGAAAATGTTTCCAAATCAGTCTCTTTCAAAATAAAACTTTAACAGGATCCGTAGGTGTGGGTCTCAGTTTGGTGAATTATTGGTTAAAACATGTTTGTTTTTCACTCAGAATCCAGAAACGTTACTTCAGTCCCAGCTCTGTAAAGTGGGTGCCGGGCGCCATCACAGCGCGTCGCTGCGACTCACATGGCTCGCTGGATGAGCCGCTGCTGCTCTGCTCCTTCCTTCCTGGCGTCCAGGAAGCGGCCTCTGACGGCCAGAGCGGCGCTGGCCTGCAGCGAGTTGAGCTGAACGATGGCGAGGCAGAGGGAGGACAGGGCCACCGAGCTGAGGAAGAGGAGCAGGAGGAAGAGGAGCAGGAGGAAGAGGAGCAGGAGGAAGAGGAAGAGGAGCAGGAGGAAGAGGAGCAAGAGGAGCAGGAGGAAGAGGAGCAGGAGGAAGAGCAGGAGGAAGAGGAGCAGGAGGAAGAGGAGGATCAGAGCGTTTTCATGTGCTCAGTGTGGAACAGAACCACTGCTGTGATGCGTTTGCATTTTCACTCCAGCCTCTTTGTTTCTGGTGGAGCGTTGACCTTTCATTCACGCTGCAGCTCAACGTTAGCATGAATGGAGAATCGCTCAGAGCCGAGCAGGAAGCGCCCGTTTCCTAGCAACAGGCCGCAGCTCCACATGCAGCAAACTGCAGTTTTCAGAATGAATGCACAATAACGACAGCATGAGGCCATGCTGAGAGCAAACGTTCAACACAGAAACACGAGGGGAAAGTTGCAGTTATATGAGACTAAATGGGACATAATATGTCAAAGTCGTTGCACTATGAGAATAAAGTTATAATATTTTGAGAATAAAGTCTTTTTAAAAAACATTTTCTTAGCGCGTTGCCAGACTCCTCACCTGTCATCAGTGACCTCTCTCTCTACAGTGAACACCCGGAGCAGAGCCCGGCCGTTCCTCCGGTACCGGACCTGCAGCTGCACGGTGACACGGCTGCCACCAGGTGGCGACGCCACTGCAACACAAGCACAAGCACCGACAGGTTAGCATTTCTAAAGAACGAACCAGAGGAGCTCAACAGATCAGCTTCAGCCAATCTGTTGGCCCCTCCTCTGTGTGAGTATGGCCCCGCCCACCAGTTTCCTAGCTCCGCCCATCACACTCTGCTAGCTCCGCCCACCTCACTCTACTAGCTCCGCCCATCACACTTTGCTAGCTCCGCCCATCACACTTTGCTAGCTCCGCCCATCACACTCTGCTAGCTCCGCCCACATCACCCTGCTAGCTCTGCCCATCACACTTTGCTAGCTCCGCCCATCACACTTTGCTAGCTCCGCCCATCACACTCTGCTAGCTCCGCCCATTACACTCTGCTAGCTCCGCCCATCACACTCTGCTAGCTCCGCCCATCACACTCTGCTAGCTCCGCCCATCACCCTCTGCTAGCTCCGCCCATCACACTTTGCTAGCTCCGCCCACCAGTTTCCTAGCTCCGCCCATTACAGTCTGCTAGCTCCGCCCATTACACTCTGCTAGCTCCACCCACCTCACTCTGCTAGCTCCGCCCATTACACTCTGCTAGCTCCGCCCATCACACTCTGCTAGCTCCGCCCATCACACTCTGCTAGCTCCGCCCACCTCACTCTGCTAGCTCCGCCCATTACACTCTGCTAGCTCCGCCCACCTCACTCTGCTAGCTCCGCCCATTACACTCTGCTAGCTCCGCCCACCTCACTCTGCTAGCTCCGCCCATTACACTCTGCTAGCTCCGCCCACCTCACTCTGCTAGCCCCCCACAGATAAAATTATTTGGTTGTGATGCTGCAGGAACAGAATGCATAAAATAATGAAATAAACATTTAACTAATTATTATTTTAACAGTGTAATTAGATAATTACTAAATTGTTTTCTAAAGTAATTATTCAAAACATTTTACTTAACATTTAATTCCTACATTTAATTCATGATGTATTTATTATTTAAGTCCTCTTTAGCCCTCCGTACCTTCATGTTGTCAGTCAGGTAACTCAGTAACCAGTGAAATTAAACTAACCTTTAAACCATGAACTGCTTCATCATATCTGACATTTGACTGATTCTCTGCAGTTTTTGCCTGACCTTTGACCTCAGGCAGTAGACTCAGAGACAGACTGAAACACACCTCCTCTCCATCCAAGTGGCATTAATTACAGGCTCTATTTTCTTGCCTCTCGTTTGGAAGCTGTTGTTTCTTTTACATGAACGAACCTCGTCTGTCGCCTCTCAGCGCTGTTGCCACGGGTTTCAACGTGAGAATTAAAGTGTTATTTTTCTGGCAACAACAGAAATGTTCCACATCTTGAAGTCCTCTCATGCCTCTGCTTCCAGCTGCAGCTGAAAGTGAATGAAAGCTTTTTTTCTCACCTTCTGTGTGTTCATGAGCTCCAAACTGCATGGTGACCTCAGTGTCCATGTTCACATTCCCCACCTCTCTGGTCCCTTTGTGTCCCACCTCCCTCTCTCCTTTCAGCCGCCTGCAGCAAACAGAACATGAGTCAGTGCCGTGGGCTTTATTATTACTGCAATTTGAAGGTTTTGAAATCTTTTCAGATGACAAGGATCCATGAATCATGTTGTGCTCAGTGGTTATTACAGCTCTTACAGAGATTTGGGCAGCAGGAGCGTAACGGCACAGTGTGTAGCTACGGTCCTGTTTTCAACGATCTCTTCAAACTCTGAGTGCAGCTGGTTGGGACTCGCTATTACAACCTGGAGACGAGACCAATGGACACAATGAGTCAGGAGTCAGGCTCTGCAGCTCAGCTTTCAACAGGAAAACCTGAATAGTTCAAATGAAAAGGTAGTTTGTCTGAATTTGTGAATTAGCTCGTCCATAGTTAGCTAAAATGCTATCAGACAGCAGCATGTTGAGCATCAGTAATGTGTGCTAAAACTAGCTAAAATGCTATCAACAGCATGCAGAGTATCACTGGCTTATTCCGCTCAATATGTTTAGCTTGCACATAAAGACAAGCTAAAATGCTAATTATACCTAAAATGCTATCATTAGCAACATGCTAGTAGTTTATTACTACTAGCATGTTTTCGTCCAACAACATACTTCATCTAGTATGGAAGCAGCGATGTGTAAGATAAAATTAGCTAAAGTGCTAAGGCTAGCTAGCTGCTCTTATGTTCCAGTGAGATCAGAACCGACCCAGTGCCACACAGTTTCTCACCTTCCCTCCAGTTCGATCCGCCAGTCTTCCCAGTTCATCCAGTCGGCAGTCTGTTCCTTCTATGGAGAGCACGGACACGGTCACCCTGAGGGAGCAATGAAAATCCGTCAGCGGACATGGACTACGCTACTGGAGGTGTTACTAGTACCAAACACCAAACAAAATGTGTTTTTCCTACCATATCGAACGTAAATGACTGGACTTTACTTAAAGCTACTTGTAAAATTGAGCCTTCAGACAAATAACAGGCAGATTTGGAATGAAGTGAAACAAAACATTGCAGTCCACAAGTAGAGGGGAGGATCTATGATGCTGTGGGACAGTCGTAGTTAAGCCTACTAAAGTTATGATTCAAAATCCCATTTCCAAATAATAACTAAATTAAAAAAAATCAGGGAACTATGTCTAGAATTGTAAAAATTTCCATCAATGAATTGAAAGGAGACAAAATTATTAAAGTGCCAGTTATTATGTAACCAAGAGGCTGTTTGTTAGTCTTGTTTGTATTTGTTTAAGGCAGTTGTATTTCTAAAAAGGAAAAAATTTAAAACAATAAAAATATTGTTGGAAAAAAGGTGCCAGTTATTGGAAAATGTTCACTGAAACTTAAATAAAATTGGGTAAATTTAGTTTAAAGGGACAGTATTATGAATTTTCCAGCCAAATAGTGCCATTTTATAGCACAATCAAGCAACTATGTTACTTTAAGTTGTTATAAAAATGCTATACATTCCAAATATGACTTAAGGAAATATGACTTTGTAATTTAATGCATTGAATTTGATAGATTTTCAAAAAGAAGATTTGAAATGATACTGCCACTTTAAGATGCTAAGCTACCTTTGCATTGCTAACTAAAACGTTAGCTGTGCTAGCCCTAAAACACTAATCATAATATTTAGTTCCAATAAACTAAAGCGCTCTACCAACGTCACATGTAGTGGAAGCTAATGCTAATGCTAAAGGCTAACTTCAACCAAGTTGATTCTCACCTTGCAGCTTAATGTCTCAGCATGTTTTAAACTGGAATCTACCAATCTAACATGATGAAAAGCTCAAAATGTCTATTTTACATGATACTGTCACTACAATTACATTCATTTTGGACTTTTGGTTTATGAAATTGTAAAAGAAAAACAAATTAAATCTGTGCATTCAAAATTCAACTTCAGCTCTGCGTCGCCATGCAGGATTAGTTTGGTCCTGGGTTTGAATCCTGGCCTGTTTGCATGTTCCTCCAGTGAATGATTGTCTTGATTTTTATGAAGAGATTATTGGATATTGATTTGTGTGAGTTTCCAGGCAGTGTGCACCGACCCCCGGCTGGCGGCGAACTCCCCCAGGTTCTGGTAGAAGATGGTGGACGACAGCAGAGCGCGAGCGTCGTTGTCCTCCTCTTCTAGATTCCCCAGTTTTGCGTTGGCTTTTCCATCTGTACAGATAATCACCTTCAAGATCAGCAGGGATAACAAATTAATATTTCATACTGAGAGAAAAATAAACAACACTGACATAAATCTGACAACATCTGTTGGAAATAGATTTTGTTCATGGTTTTGTTTTGTTTGAGATGAGATCACATGGAGACGAGGTTTATTATGAAAAAACAAATCATTTCTCTTCATTAGCCTTTTTTGTATGTTTTTATGTTTTTATTTTATAGAAAGTAATGTCATAAACAAAACCAAATTTTCAACTCAGAAATAAACTCATTCATTACGTTTAGCTAAATACAGCAAAAGTTTTAGACTTTTTATTTTTGTTGCTGGAAATGAACTAAAAACATTTTAAATGCCAGTAAAATAAAAAATAACTGGCCAAAATGTTAAATTACTATGAACATTGAGACAGATGTCATATTAATGTTTTGTTTCTTTAAAATATTTGTTTTTTTAATTTATTCTTGTGGAGGTGAAGCAGAAAATTTTATGCATTTTTAATTGAAGAAAAAAAAAGATTTTTATCTTTTAGATTTTATTTTCTTGTGTAAAAAGTTTTTTTTTTTTTTTACTGGTTTATTGTGTCAGTAAAATTAGAGACCAAAAAAATCATTTTGTTTTTGTCTGCAGTTTTACTGGTGCACTTCACAAAACAGATTGCATCACCAGAAGTGAACATGAAGCAAAAATCTCAAAAGTTCAACTAGGAAATTAAAGTTTGGACACAAATTGGTTCCCAGATGGACAAAGACACAACGTCCATGTTTGGAGCAGCTGAAACTGAATGGGACCTGGAAACCCGACACATTTAAACCAAAATTCAACCCTAAACTATCAGAAACCAAGTCATGCAGTTATTAACGTCTACCGTATTTTCTGGATTATGTCGCAGTTTTTCTCATAGTTTGGCCGGTTGTGCGACTTATAGTCCGGAAAATACGGTAAATATGAAGAAAGTTGGAAATTATTCTGGTATTTATAGAAACAGAAACAGTTGTGAGGTAAACAGGAAGTGACCAGCCTCACCTTTGACCCTGGCAGCCTGGAGGCCATTGAAACAGCCACCAGGGCAGCCGGACCCAGAGCCGTTTCTCCATTTGCTGATAATCTAAAGACAGAATAAAAACCAAAATACGTAAACATGGACTTGATGCAATCGACCTGGAGCTGCAGCTCACCCTGCAATGTGTCTCTGCAGGGAAGCTTTAGTCTGCGCCAGCGGCAGCGGCGTGGCCAGCCCGGCCGCCGCCGCCATCAGGAAGCTCTGGTCGTTCAGCTCGGCGCCGCTGAAATGATACAACTGGAAACTGTTGCATTCGTACACAGTGACCTGAAGAAGACCGAATGGAGACAGTTAACAAACAAAATTAATGCCAACAATCTGAGTTATTTAGCCTTTAGCAAGCTAAAAAGATAGTTAGCTAACTCTATGCTAATGTTTTAGCTTGAAACTCATTTTTTAGCTTGCTAACTGTTAAATATTTAACTGGCTAATTAAAAAGTGAGATAGTAACTATTCAACTTGATATCTAAGCAAATTCTTGCTTAGTTAAATATTCAGCTTCCTAATTAATATTTATATTTATCTAATTAATATTGATCTAATACTAATTAGCCAAATATTTAGTTGACTAATTACATAAATAATTTGTTGCTAAATATTTAGCTTTCCAAGTTAATATATATGTAGTTGTAAACATACAACTAAACATATTTCCAAACTAAATATTTAGCTTGAAGCTGTTGCATTTAAAAATGTTTGAATAACATGCTAAACATAAAACTTTGTAACATCCAATTTATTTTGTCAATTTTTGACTTTATAGATTTACAAACGACAACCCATAAAATAAATGTAGTCAATAATAATATGTGATTTTATGGATCCGGGAGGATAATAAAATCCATCCACACTATTAAGATAAAAGTACCTGGAAGTTGAAAGTGATGAGTCCAACTCGGGCGTCTGGCTGCTGGTCGCTCAGCTTCTGGACACACTGCAGCACAGCGTCTTGGACAAACTGCAGTCAGTCCAGAAATGCAGAATAAAAACACACTTTTTAACTTTTCTGGGTGCTTTTTAGTTGGAAACAAGAAGACAACTCACCTCAAGCCTGGTTCTGCGCATGTTCTGCCCCGGTTCTGACACCTTCAACAAAGCAGAGATGCTGTTTATTTCTGAAAGCGGCAGAAAGCGAAGCGTCGCTCCGGGTTTCCCACCTCGGAGGTGATGCTCATGGAGCCGGACGCGTCGATGCAGAACAGCAGCAGCGAGTCGCTGCTGGACTGCGGCTGCTCTTCAGGGTTCAGCACAAACAAATCATCTTTCTGCACACCGACAGGAAGTCTGGACGGTCTAGTTAAATCCTCACGCTGACAAAAGTAGCACACTTTAACCTGCAGGGAAAACGGGAAGGTCCATTCACACTGCAAAAATACTAAATATTACCAAGTACTTTTGTCTCGATTCTCTGCAAATATCTTAGAAAGTTTTCGTGCAGAAACAGCAGCTGGTTTCAGGTCAACATACGATACAGATGGAAGGTTCTGGTTCTATTTACAACAAATTCCCCGCGTTACTAGTCAGATAATCTGCCAGTGGAAGTTGAACTTTTTCTATACATTAAGAAATTATTTATTATAGCAAGCTGCTATATCTGGGTGAAAAGTTACTTGTAAATTAGTTTTATTGAACTTTTTCAACATATTTGCATTTGAAACAACCAAAAAGACTTGGCAAGATTTGTGTTTTTGCAGTGCAGCATTTTCAAGGTCATTTAGCTTTTGCATTTTGGCAGCATTTAAATGATTTTATTAATAAACAAATTTACAAGAAAATGTGTCAGTTTTCTCAGAAGCATCTAAATCACATCCTTAGCAACCAGTTTATGGAGTTTATCTGCAAAAAGTTATTTACAGTTTAAATATTTAAAATGTGAAAACCTGGTTTTTGGCCTCACTGTCCAGAACCGACCCACATTCTGAACACATCATGGACTTCCCATGACTGGGAACCTCTGGGGAACAACAGGGAACATCATCAGAGACAGAAATCAGCCCAGATGAAGACGATGATTCACTGACCGACCTCTTTCCTCTGACAGCAACTTTCCCAAACTGATGAGAACGATGTTGGGATTTCCAGGCAGAGGACCCGGATCTGTTCCAGAAGACAGAAAAAACATTAGAGAAGGTTAGGGAACGGTTAGGGAACAAGATGGGAACGGGTTGGGAACGGTTAGACAACAGTTAGGGAACAAGATGGGAAAGGATTGGGAACGGTTAGGGAACAGTCAGGGAACATTTGTCAGATTATCTTACAAGTAGCACAAAAGCTATCTCTGTGAACGCTGTCATGCAATTTATTTGACCAGCAGCATAACATCATGACGTGGATCGTCTTGCACGTCCAGCCTGGACATTATAATGCTGTAAGGAAGGTTACACTTTATTAGACCTTAAGCTTGGTTTTGTAGATCAGTAAAAGCGACACAGTGCTGAGACAAGATTCCTGTCCGGCGAGATTCCTGATCTGTTGGTCGTGGCTCTGACTCTTAGCTACATGCTGTCTGCGCCACACAGTTCTTATTGAAACTCATCTGGTGCTGGAAGAAGTCAAGTTAATCCTGAAGACTCTTCGTTCTCCATCACACTGGAAACCAAAAGCACGACAAACCTTTACTGGCAGGTCTGGATGGAGGTCTGGATGGAGGTCTGGATGGAGGTCTGGATGGAGGAGGCGAGGATAAAACCATCATGTACTCCGGGGTTGGAGGCATAAACCGAGGTCTTGGAGGCAGCGGTGGGGCTAATGTTTCAAACCCAGGAGGATCAGTTTGAAGGTTTTTACGTTAAAGGTGCAAAAATGCAGATTTTAAAGTATTTCCTACCAGATCCAGACGCGATTCCTCCATCAGGAAGCCAGGCCTCTGCGCCTCGGCCTTCTGGTAAAATGTAGGCGTAAAGATTCTCTGTCGTCTCCATGTTTGGACCAGATTCCTGTTTTGAGTACCAAAGCGACTGATTGCTGTTGGAGGTTTGAGGCGGTTCAGGTTCAGGATTCACTGTCGGCTTCATAAATGGCGGCAGAAGAGCTGAGAGGGAAAAACAGCGGAGGAAAAATTCAGCACAAAACTTTAGATTGAATCTGTTGCATCTTCACAGCCGTTGAGTTTCCATTCAACCCAGTTCAGCCCAGCTGTGATGGAAACACGTTCACTCATTCACCAACCCGCAAGCTGTTAGCTTTCTGCTAACGGAGAAGACATTTAGCATGACTAGCTTCCCCTCAATGAGGTAACATTCAGAAGTGCTGAAACATTTACAGTTTGCTGTTGGTTATGCTTTTTCATTATCCTGACTAATTTATGTCTTTGCTGGACTAGAGGAAGAGGAAGATGAAGATGATTGTTTCTAACATGCAAACATAAAAACAGGAGAAACAAAATGGATGGAAATCTGGAGCTGGAATCTTGTTGATGTGAACTTCAGGTTCAAATCGGGATTTTCAGCATCTGTGAGTCTGTCGCCATGGTAACGCATGCTGAAGCGCTCAGCGGCTCAAAATCATAAAATCATTAAAATATAAACAAAAGACTAAAAGCGACACAGTTTCCAGGTTTGCAGTGGATCCGATAACGCCGTACCGGTCCTTCTGGAAGGCGTCGCTGCAGATCCTGCGGGACAAGAATCCGCCTCCGGTTCTGGACGGTTCAATAAGACAGAAACGGGTTTGGAGGATCCGACTTCCTGGTTTCTCTCCTGCTGTCCAGAGGTTTTGTAACCTTTGACCTTAAGGTGGGCAGGAGGAGGAGGAGGAGGAGCTCGAGGACGAAGGCCTTTCACCGGAGGAAGGAGGGCTGGAAAAAAGACATTTAAAATATGATCATCCCATTGGCTTTAAACAGCAAAAACTAAAAGGAGAACAAACGTCCATGTTCTAAAAAGACGAGCCGGAACCGAAACATCTGCATCTGACGCACGAGCCACATCTGCAAAAACGCAAAATATTACCAAGTATTTTTACTAGTTTCTACTGCAAATATTGTAGTACACTTGAAATAAGAGAAATCCAACGTAAAAGTAACTATTCAGCAAGAAGTAAATTATTTTTATGTCAATAATTTCTTAATATTGATTTAAAAAAGTACTTGCTGCACCGGCAGATTATTTCACTGATAGCAACATTTTCCATGTTAGGAAAGGCCGTCAATTAAATCAAGAGCTCAGAATAACTACATAAAAAACTCATCAAATCCACTGATTTACAGCCTGCCAGACTATAAACACTGAAATCACCAGATGATCAAACACACCGCCACTCTGGAACATACTGACTGCATTTAACTACTTCACACAACCCCACACAGAAACCGAGCAACAGTAACACACATCAGGCCCGTTGCAGATGGAAGAAAATGGGAATGAATTTCTGTCAAACAATCAGGGACATTTTCTCAGCTGGTAAAGTCAAAAGATTTAGACTTTTGGAAATTTCCATTTTCAGAGTTTTTAAATCTCCTGAGCTCGAAGTTTTCAACATTTCAGGAGTTTTCATGTTTGTTGTAGAAATTTTCTGAAATTAAAATCAAAATTTGTCATTATTTGCTTGGAGATTTGCAAATGTTTTGAGGTCGGAAAATCTCAAAGGTTTTTCTAGAAAAATCACCAAATTCATCTAAAATGTGATTTTTCCCTGCTGACGAACAACTGAGTGCAAAATGTCAGTTTTTGACATATACTAACTATAAAATGGCCCTAATAAAGTGTTATAAACTCTAGATGCTTTGGATGACCTTTGACCTGTTTAAGTGTGACTCAGCTCCTGTTTGTTACTCATCGGTTTCAAGAAGCTCAAGGAAAATCCAGAAACAAAGTTCAGTTTCCCTCCCAGTAAAACCCTGCAGGCCTTTTTCTCTACACATTCAGGTGAGGTTAAAGGTCACAGGTTGTGGAGCTGTGAGTGCTGAGCTACCTGAGCGTTTGGCCGCGTTGCCGCCGGATCGTTGGACTTCCCTCCGGCTGAGCGACGGCGGCACGTAAACAAACCCGCAGGCGAACTCCATCGGCTTCAGTCAGACGACTTTCACACAGAACGATCCGGATCCAGAGGCTCCGGGCCCGACCAGAACCGCTCCGCTCAGAACCGCTCCGCTCAGAACCGCTCCGCTCTCAACCGACAGACAGAGCCGGAAGCGTTGGGTCGATCCGTTCAAGGGAACCAGCAGCAGGAAATCTGTCTGCTGCTCTGACATCTTGTCCAACTGGTTTCTCCAAACGCCAACAAACGAGGCTGAGACTGAAAACTCGACACAAATCCAACAAACGAATCCAAGAAACCAGAAGATTCAGCCCAGAAACGGAGATTCAAGAGTTGAAAATTTGCCAGAAAACAATTTACCTTTGAAACTTTTCATGTTTTTTGTTTTTCTTGCAAAGTTTTGACTTTTCAAAGTAATTTCTGTTTTTGGCAAAAAATTCACTGTTTCTTATCGACAATGGAAATATAATAATGTACTGCTTTTGTTTTACTTTTATTCACTATTAATTATTACACTATTAATTATTACATTCAGTCATAAATGCTGCCTTATATCTTCTGATTTCAGTGGATTTGTGTTTAGTTGATTTGTTTCTTTCTCACTAAGAATGAAGAATAAAGCAGCAGATTAATTTGACTGGCAGAAAGATGATAAACGGAAAATAATATTTGTACTTAAGTTTTATGATTAACAAATGGATTAGTGTTTATGATAAAAAAATTTTTAAAAAAGGTAAAAAAGAAAAAATCTGGTAGACAGAAAAAAAACCTTTGAATCAAGATGAACACTGAAAGAAAAGCTCAACGTTTTGGTTTAACTTTTATTTTACAGATTTTCATTAAAAGCCAACAACATAACAAGCAAAAGGATGCTTTTATTGTGAAATTTAACTCATTAACTATGTCATTTGTGTTCCCAGAAGGTAAATATTCACTTTTCATGCAGAATGTTGTGAACACTTTGTCCCGTCAGCCCATTATAGACATAATAACTCAGTTATGGTGGAAGAAAATAAATATTTTGTTTTTATAAACACATCAACATGCAGAAACAGTTTTATATGGAAACTCATCCAGACCAAACATCACTCCAAATTTCAATTAAAGGGGCAATATTATGTATTTCCCAGGCAGCAGACACTTTAGAGCACGATTAATAAATTGTTACTTTCAGTTGTTACAAAATGTTACATATATAAAATGTGACTTCTAAGAAATTTGACTTCCTGATCTAACAGCTTGAAATTGTGCCTCTGTCTCTTTAAGAAGCTCCTGCTCTTTCTGAAGCTGGTTGTGGATCAGCAGTGGACATGAACATCTTCCAGCAGAAACATATTAATAATGCGTTGCTTTCAAAAGCATTAAGAAAACAAAGGAGCTGTGGGTGAAAACGGAGTCGTCACTCAGCGACTTCGACGTAATTAGCGGGGTAGAATCCCTCCTTCCCGCCGCTCAGCTGCCCCCGGCACCAGCCCTGCTCGTCCTCCTCCTCCACCTTCAGGAACGTCTCGCCTGCAGCCGCACAAACGTTTCAAGCACAAAGACAAAACAACCGAGAAGCAAGCAAAAAAATCAGATTCAGAACGACGACGATGCGTTTGAGTTATGGAATAAATTCAACTGTGAGATAAAATTCATCTGCATCTAAAATTCATTTGAGTTTCGCTTCATTAAATTCACATTTGAAGGGATTTAACAGCAAATAAGCTGTTTAGTTTTTGCTGATTTGCTTCTTTTTCTCCCTTCATCAATTTGTTTTAGTTGTTACATGAACTATTCATATTTATTATTGAATGAACTAAATAAAACCTGAAATGGAGGAAATGTAAATAAAATACATTTTATAAGACACATACTTGCTGATTTTGTGGATTATCAGATTAATTGTGATTAATCAATTATTTAAATAATCGTCAACTAATTTAGTAATCAATTAACCAATATCTGGAGTATAAAGACGTTTCAGTCACTGCAGTAATTCTGCAAAAACTGTAAAAAATATAAACATTTTTTATTTAGGATTTGAAAAATCCGTCACATTCGATTCAAATGGCAGTTTTAGCTTCATCCAGTTCAAATTATATTAAAATCTCTCTTGTTAAGAACCTGTTACTGTCCATTTATTAATCAGTTAATCAATAACTAATTGTTAATGATGTATTACTGTTCAGTGCAGCAGAAACGCCTGAGATTTTCATGTCTGAAGGATTTTTATTTCATACTAACAGAGTTCACTTTTAGGTTATATTAACTTTCTTATTTAAAAATGACTGAAATCTTTTGTCGATTAGAATTTTTTATGTAATTTAATATTGTGTAAAAATTACTTCGATGGTTAAATGAAAAATCTGCATCTTTTAAATGTAATTAATGAATTTTTTTCAAAATAATTGTTAGAAAAACATGTAGTTAAAATCAGTCCAGGGGCCAAAAGGCTCCAGATTCTGGACACCAGAGCCTGAAACAGAAACACGTTTCATAAAACCATCCGGTCGACTCCAACCCCGCAGTGACATCACTTCCTGTGCTTCACCTGCTCTGAAGGACAGCTCGTCGGCCTCCTCTCCCACGTAGTCGTACAACGCTCGGACCTTCACGCCGCCGATCATCACGCTGCAGCCGCAAACATCCACAAATAACCAAGCTGAAGAAAACGAGTCAAAAGTCGTGTTTTAGTGACTTACGGACGACTTTCTTTGCCTTTCTGGTTCCTCCGTTTCCTCTTCGGCTTTTTCACAGGCGGGACCCATTCCTGGTCGGAGCCAACGCAAAAACACTCAGCAAGAAAATCATCCACAAAAAGAAAATACGTCTTCCACGAGCCAAGTCTCTAAAGTCTGAAATGAACATTTCCTCATCATCTGGTTCACCTTTGACCTCTGACTCTGGAATCCTGAACCTGATTCCAGAGTCCGACGCACCAAATTGAACTTGATACCAACTTTCAGCTAAAATCACAAACCCACCAAAAAACACAAAACTAAATTAATAAAAGTTGTCAAGTTTTTGTTTTTAATGTTTTTTTTCTTCCTGACGGTCCGGTCGACCCGGTTCTACTGGAACCAGAACTTCTGCTCCACCTCCAGCTGCTGTGGTTCTGACCCAAACCAGCCTGTTCCCCTCCTGGCCTGGGGGCGCTGCACCAACAACCACTGCAGGAAACGACACTAAAACCTCTGAAGACACTGAGAGCAACTTCCTGTTTCACCAGATGAACCAAGATGGAGGCGTCAGAGTTTAGTGATTTCTCTTTAGTGTTTGGCTGAAGACCAGGAGCCATTTCTGCTGCTAACGCTAGGCTAGCATGTTAGCTTTGGCTGTATTTACCCAGAATGCCCTGCACTGTAGTCCACTTCCTGTTTTTGGCGCGCTCTCTGGTCTGCATGGCGTTCATATTCAAACAGAACCAGACTGAGGTTTGGAGGACCAGAGGTCAGAGGTCAGAGGTTGATTACCGATCACACCTCACCGACCGGACCGGAGTTTATAGGCTGATGGACCGGACTCCTCTCCTTTCGTGGTCGGTACCTGGATCTTGGGCCAGTCGGTCGGCATGCCGGGTCCCTGGTTGCTCCGCCACCACTTGAGGTCGTCCTGCTCGTCGATGGACATCAGAGTCTGATGCAGCTCGCTGTAAACCGCCTTCACGCTGAAGAGGAGCAAGAGGAAGAGGAAGAGCAGCTGGAGCCTCATGCTGCTGCAGACGAAGCGTTGAAAACGTCTCACCTCTCGTTGTTGGTGACGTCCAGGTGTCTGTGGATGGAGAGGAAGACCTGCTTCAGGAAGCTGATCCTCTTCCTCTCTTCCTCCTGCGACTGCTCAAAAATGGCCTCCATCTCCTCCATGTAGCGAGGCGTGTATGATGTCACTTCCTCCAGAGCTTTTTCATATCGCTCTCTGGCCTTATCAGAGAAGAAACCAAGCAAAGACCTTTTAACCACGGATTTAACCACCTAATGCAACACTGAACTCAGTGACAAGAACAAATCTAAAATCAAATGAGGTTTAGCTAAACTAGAACGGAGCATCAGGGCCACCACAGCTACGAGAAACAAATTTTAACTTAAACTCAGAATGTTTAGAAAATTCTGAGATTTTGAGAATTTTCAATGAAAAATTATTGGAATTTGAAAAATAAAAATTGATGGAAAATTTTTTTGAGATTAATTTAAAAATAATTCTAGAAAATATTTGAAAATTTCAGTTTTGCAAGAAAATGCTGAAAATTTGAGATAAAGGTTAAAATTAAGAAAAAATGTAAATGGGAAATTCCTTCGTTTCAAAAGACAAAAAATTGCTAAAAAAGAAAAATCTGAAATTTTGAGGTCACAGAAATTTGTGGAAAAAAACATTGAAACTTTAATTCAAAAAGTTGCAAATTTTTTACTTTTTGGGATCAGAAAGTTTCAGTTTTTCTAGAAAATTTCAAATATTAATCTAAAAAGTTAGAAAAGTCAGAAAGTTTCTAGACAAAAACTCAAACTTTTGATATTAATCATAAAAATTTACTAGAGAAGCTGAAAATCTGAGAAAAACATTCAGAAAAAAGTTGGAAATTTGAGTTTCAAAAGTCAAACTTTCTATTTTATTCCAACTTTTTTCTAGAAAGTTTTTGATCTAAACATAAAAATGTTTTCTGGTGTTAATTTATCCCTTTTCCATCTGGAATGGCCTGTGATGTCACTTCCTGCAGTCTTTCCGTGCGGTTCTGAGCTCAGGAGGAAAACGGGCCTTTGTGATCAGCAGATGCTGCAGCGATGATTCGGCCTCATAAACACTGAGCTCAGCAACAACAACAAACCTCACGGAGGGGAAACGCTGCAGGCTGAAACTTCAAGCTCTGACTTTCCCAGGAGATGAAATGCGACCGCATGCGTCATGTTTTCAATCAGGGAGCGTAAAGCGCTCGTGTTGACGTCTCACTCTCTCTCGCTCCTCGGCAGCTCTCTCTCTGGCCTCGGCCGTCTTCAGCTTCTTCTCCTCGCTCAGCGCCGGGTTTTCGTTCGCCTGCTTCTCCTTCTCCAGCGCCGCCTGCTCCTTCTGGCACGCCTTGTGGAACGCCAGCCGGGCCTTCTCCAGCTGCAGCAAACAGACGCAGCAAACAGGAAGCGGTTCTGATGGAGCCGTTCTGACAACAGGAAAATGTGTTTGATGAAAGAGTTTCGTTTCCCAGATTATTCTGCTTGGCCTTCAAGCTCAAATGGGTTTCATTTTTTAAAG